TGTATACATTGAATTAATATAATATCAAAATGTGTGAGAATGAGAGTATGTGTGATGGCTCTAAGGCAGAATGTGGTCAGTTAGAAATAAAGGTTTTTGTGTATATTATGGGCAGCCATAAATATTGTTATGTCAAAATAAGCAGGTTTTATCTGAAGTGTTGTCCACCCAACGCAAGGGACAATGGGAATGTTTGAATATATTAATCTTGCTGAGGTTCCAGAGGGTTATAGAAGGATAAAAATATCTACCTGTATTCAGGTACACTTTAGAAAGACCCCAGGGGCATGTTAGGTGTGTGTTGGGTAGCCAAAGGACAGGAGGGTAACTGCGATCACAAGAACCAGCCAATCACAATAGTTCCATGCTACATCTAGTGGCTCTCAATAGTATATCTAGGGAACTGTTAGGTCAGTAGTTATGAAGAAGGAGACAAGGAGAAGGGACAGGAGGAGTGAGCATCAGGCCCCTGGAGATCTCAAAGAAAGGTAGTTATGATCATGCATGAGTTATATTTGTAAATACAAGTATAGATATGTTATAAGTTTATGTTTTATTGTTGGAAGTTGTATTATTATGTGTTTTGTTTGAATTTCGGATTGTTTAAGTAAATTGATATAACTAACGATGTGGATTCTTGGATATTCTGTTGCTGTGTTCTAATATATGTATTTTGCTAGTTTCTGGTTAAAGCAGAAGCTTTCAGATAAAAACCCAATAATAGATAAATATAGAACAGGGATTGTGTAATTAATAAGCCATCCATTGTAGGGTAAGTTGTAAGTCTCAAGCACATAACACATTTAGAGTCCCATGCCAATTATTTAATCTTTTAGTTTAATTTAACATTTACAATTTAAGACTACTAACATCTTGCATCCAACTACTATGTACTAGATTATCTCAGAGGCTTCTTTGCATTGTCTGCACCTTGGATCTTGCCTGATGTGGTAGACTCCCGCTTCTATTGATCTGGCACTGAGTTCCTGCTCCTGTGCTTCTAGGATTAATGCCTCAGTGCTGTCTTTTGGTCCTGCCCTTTGATCTGTGTGGGTGCTGAGCCCTGAGGTCCCATATATATGAACTCTGTGCTAAATGCATACGGAAAAAAACAGACTATGCATAACTCTTAAAAAGTGAGTATACCTAAATTAATATGTTATATCACACAGATCAGAGTACTAAGACATAGGCAAAACATAATAAAAAATACAGTATGTGTAATATGTTACAAAGTGATAAGTGCTCATTAATGTACTATACTAAGATTTATCATCTAGCATAGTGGATGTCTTATAGAAAGTGAATAGTGCTAAATAAAGTGCCATTCATAAAAAGTGTATTTAGTGCTATTGAAAGTGCATTATTTAAAGGGCCAAGATGTAATTAAGTTATCCAAGGATCTAAGGCTCCTCGGATAAATTCTTATAAAGTGTATCCAGAAGTTTGAATTCAGGGGAAGCCAACGAGTGTAGAAAGTGTAAGGCGAGTATCACAACATATATATGGAGACTATTTAAAATGCATAAAATGATAAATATATAACATAACACATATACTAGGTAGGGGTAGGTTGTGTTAGTCTAATGGTGATGCGGAAATTAGAAAACAAATGTTCATGACCATTCAGGAAACTTTTGGAAGGAGATAAAAGAAAATTTTCCATTTAAGCCTTTCAGGGACACTGTATTCAACTCCAAAATCCAAAAAGTCTCTCTTTGTTACAGAATGCTTCCACGATCACCCCCCTTGCTGGGATAGGACATGGTCTATTGCCACACATCTCAACAATGTAAGTTGGTGTTGATTCTCCCAAAAATGTCTGGCAACAAGTTTGTCAGACTTGCTATCACTAATTCTGTCTTTCCAATATAATTCACATGGACATGTAAGTTTATATACGACAAACTCTGTACAACAATAGATTCTGTGGTGAATTCTGTATGTCTTGCGTGTGAGGATGATTAAAAGTTTTTGAAGGGATAATGTGTCTGCATGATAGAGATTTTATATATATATATATATATTTGTAGTCAGGGCAATATAGCCGAACAGAGAAATCTTAGCACAATACAATCATAACATCTATGAGTAGGCATCAGTCGGTTGTGGTGTGCCGGAACCGACAGAGCAGTAGGCCTGTAATAAAAGTGGGTCCACCTTAGAGGGTGTTATAAGTAGAGGGAGCAGTGGGAGGGGTGACTCGCCAGACCAGCAACGGTAAGGTGGGAGTGGATTGGCAGCCCTTTTAAAGGTGAACCAAGCCCCTCCCACAACTCCAGGCCAAGCCTTCAAATTTGTAGTCGGGGCAATATAGCCGAACAAAGAAATCTTAGCACAATACAATCATAACATCTATGAGTAGGCACCAGTCGGTTGTGGTGTGCCGGAACCGACAGAGCAGTAGGCCTGTAGTAAAAGTGGGCAAAAGAAAATAACCAGAAAACATAATTCGTGAACCAACTTCGTTTATTGAGATAAGTCACAAAAAGATTGTCTTAATTCTTTAACAGGATTGGGTATGTAGAGTGTGTAGGCGGAGGATTTCCATCGCCCCATGGCCTTAATAATATGAGCGGGGACGTGGTTAGCGGATGTGGAAGATGCTGCTCCTAAATGGAAAGAGTGACCTGAAAATTGATTGGGGTTTAGGCCGAGCCTGGTCAACAGAAGTCTTATGTACAGCATGAATTTAGCTGTGATCAGAGTGTGTCCATGCAGTTCAAACAAAGGCTGTTGAGGTTGTTTTTGGACTGAAAGTAAATAAGTGTCTAACACTTTAACTGGGCACCATATATTGTGAGTAGGGTACAGGGGTATCTGAATACTGTGTCCGTTGGTGCTGGTTTTGGATTGTCTTCGAGAGAGAATATAATGGTCGGTATGTTTCTGTAGATCATTGGTTCTAAGGTAGTCAGGTGCGTTGATGGTTGTGGTTGTGAATTCGCTAGGCCAGAGGAACCCATAAAAAGCAAGATATAGTGCTGTTTTGATAGTGCTATTTGTCATGGGTTCGAAAGGAGATGAATCTAATAGGTTGGATAGAGAGTGGAAGATGTTGTTGTCTATAGGTAGTCTTTGTGAGGGAACATGTGTATCTATTTTTTTAATGCCTTTAAGTAATGTTTTAATTTGGTATGAGGTTAGAAAAGCAGTACTGTTAGGCTGTTGGATGAGCATATGGTGTTGGATGCCAGTATTGAAGGATAGTTTAAGGTTAATGTGGCAAAAAGAGGTAAACCCCAAAATCGTCTCTAATGCAAACATGTCGTGAATGTGAAACTCGGTGATACATTTTTGAATACGTGAAATGCCCTATCATAAGTGTCCCTAGTGTTTACTGAGAGTGCCATATGAGAAATGTGACGTGCGTGATCTAACAAGGTCTTTAATCCATGATCATGTCTTGGAAAAGAGGTGCAGGTGTCGCTCGTCTGGAAGCGTTGGCTAGTGACGAGCAGAAAGCCTGGAAACGAAACCGAGACAAGTGATCAGCAGCGGTGTTT